AAGATGGTGGCGTGACCATCAATTGATCTGACTGTCCCCCTGATTTACATTATTTGAAGACAAGACACAAATTTATACGTTAGGAGAATTATATGCAGTATGACGACTTTGATACATACATAAAAATAAAATAATCTCCTTTGGAATTATCATTTATTATGTATATGATTATTCTTTACTTTTACCATTAATATCGAAAGAAATAGCAAAAATTCTATGATAAACAAATGCCGCGTTAAGTAAATACATATGTACTATGTTAAATAATGCTAAGCTAAAAAAAACCCTTTAATTTGGTTGATTTTTCCCTATATTCATGCTTAAACAATGACCTTTTTTAGCCGTCGCTTTCTTCTTTCGTGCAGGAATAACATGAGGATCCAAATTCTCTTTTTCTTCACTGACAGTAACGGGTAACCTCTTTCTACCACCAGCACCTTCAACCTTTCGTCTTTTAATAGATTCGACCTGAACGCGGATCATAGAACCACTTTTAACACGAGATGTTGGGTCTAAATTACGATTAAGATCGTAGAGATAGGAAATAAGTCGAGGAATCGATTTTGATTTTGCTGAACGATATCGTTCCGCGAATTTGTCTAGTGCAGTGCCTAATTGAGGACCCGCATTTTGATAATCTGCTTTCATTTCCTCTAAAAATGTAGCAAATGCAGTGCAATTGATTCCAGTATCTTCTTTATCGGATACCCTAGAAGGATTAAAATATTTAGAATTGTTTTTTCAAGCAGGTTTACAAAATTATGAGAATTTTTATACCTCCGCTCAATAAATTTGTCAAGAATATTGTTAGAGGAACCACTTTGCAACATAGATCCTTGATCCTGTGGAGTAAATTTTGCTTGTAAGGATGCATAGAAAGAAATATTTTCCGCGGTATAACCTAATGAGGGTAATGTGTTAAAACACATTTACAAACATTCTAAAATACAATCTCACTTACCAAGTGCAATGTAGGCGTATACCATACGATCTTCAAGTGTTGATGAAGGTATAAAATTAAATATTGCAATACTATACTTCATCGCAACTGCTCCCTGATGTTTGCATGGTGCTCCGGATACCCCAACAGGACAAGTACACGTTCCGAATTCACTGTTCACTATATAAAAAAGGTTATCTTGTCTCGTACTAAGAACTGAAAATTCATTTCTTATGCCTGTCTCCTTAATCGAATTCACATTCACTTCTTCCCAACCAGGGCACAAAAACCGTTTTGCAATGCGTAAGTGTCCAGGGTGTTTATGTGCAATTCCGAGCAGCCTCCGCTCATAAAATCTCTCCATATTTGTCACTACAAACTGAAATACTTGTACTATATTATATGCTTGTGTCCTTGCAAAAATTATATCTTTTAAAATTCCAAACCCTCGTTCAACGTAGTTGTTCGTGTTATTCCCGCGCGTAGGTAATCCAACTCGAAATGATAGTGCCCAAAATTGACGACGCTCCCACAAAAATCCAAAATGTTTTCGTAGAAGTGGATAACTATAATAAGAATTTTTAAATTCGTCAAAATGCGCATCCATTTCCAGGCCTGATGACGCATAAAGGATTTTCTTCATCTTCTCCATTATAGGTGCTCTATCCTCCTTCTTAATATGGTGCTTCAAATCATGGAGCCATCTCCAAAACGATTGAAGAACGTGAAACGTGCATAGAAGACGGATCCCTGCAATAAGTTTCAATCCGAAAAGGGTAAGCGATTAGTTAAAAAAATAACAATATAAGGACTATAAAAATTTGTTGAGATCTTATTCATCGTTCAACTTAATCCATTAAAATAATTCGGAAATTTATTAACAAGTCGTTATTACATTTTAGAAAAGAATATACATACCTTGTGGCCAACACATTTCCAGAGCATTACGTTCAGCCCTTGAATCGTCCGTGAGGAAAATAATCGGACCTACTTGTGGACCGCGTCCAAAAAAGGCATATTCAGGAAGAATTGTTTTCAATAAATTTATCGCCTTTTCTAATGTGATTTCGAGTTCGTCTGAAGTGATAAATAGCCCGAGCGGAAGGGCACCGACTGCGCAGCTAGTATAAAGGAGAGTAATCGACATGTTAAGGTGTTCGAATGAAGCCGAAGCGTCCATATAACACAGCTCGCGCGCTTGTGGAATTTTCTCATGCACTCGCTGCATAAGGCCTGTTACAATGCAAAGTATAAATGCCTTTCCGGTTTTGGCGTCAAATTCTTGCAACACCGCTTTACCCCGGCCTGAATTGTTGTATTCTTCGACCATTGACTTTAAACGCTCAAACATTGATTTTCCATTACGACTGCCAAGTGCAGTCTCACGGTATTTTCGAAAAAGACGGAGAACAGTATCATAGTCTGGATTGAATGCTCGATCGGAAAGCATTTCCAACAATTCTTGATCGTTCGTAGTATTAAGATACAGTTCATCTTCATAAGCACACAACGCGGAGGCAGGCGAATGTCCGTCTTTGAATAATTCGACAAGTCTTTCGCAGACTTCGCTTTTGACACGGCGAAAACTAAGTGATTCCGCTGAATTAATTACATGGTTGTGCGTAAATTTAATATTAATTTCTAACGGATGACTATGTGTAAGCTTCTGGCGTTCCAATCGAATATGAATGCTTGCAGTACAATTGATATCACGCTCCCGAGGCGAATGCTGACGTTTTTTTATACGATTTCCTTGTTTTTGCCTAACTTGATGGCTATGGATACAATGGCGTAATTGCCGAAAAAGTACCCTGTTTCCCGTTACTTTAAATCCCCTTGTTTGTGGCATTGTAGTCTTTGAATAGGATTCAAATGCTGCAAACCATTCTAATGCTCCTTCTTCGTTGCATACATTTACGAATGCGTCTAACTCGAAATTTTCAACGTCAAAGTTCTCTTGTGTTCGGTATGGCGATAGAATATCGAATCTTTGTATTAAATAAGTATAATCACAAGGAAGAATCGGTTTCAAAATGTCTGGTAATAGGCTCCAGGAAAAGATCTATAAAATAGTTAAATAAGTAACAGTGAATACTACTTAATGAAGAGAGAACACACATAATAAAACATTATTAAATAAATAAATAAAAATATATATATATAAAACTCTACAATAGTGGTAACATCATCGATTAACTTGTGAAATTGTCATAAATTAAATAGCAATAAAATTAACTAACAACATTGGTCGATAAATAACGATACAATAAACCATCAAAGCTCTAGAAAACATGCTTAACACTGGCGCATAGTTGACAAACCTGTTTAGTAGTTTCTGTATTGTAAACGTCCATACTGTTGCACGAATTACGAGCTGTGTGTGACTTTTAAAACTTTGATTTTATACGAAAGAGTTTTCGTATGGTAAAGTTGAAACGAGAACTTTTGATTGAGAGAAGAAAGTATTTGTTTGGAGAGTACACCTGTGGGTAAAAGAACTGAGAAAGTAGTATATCATTATGATATCAACGACACGTATTTATGCTTATTTAAGCAAACATGAACTGTCACTGGTCGTTGTTGAGGCATAGTCAGTCAGATCAATTGAT